CCCCCCCCACCCCAGAACACCATTTTACCTTGCGCTGTGCCCTGGGCGTTGACTCAGAGAGCTCCTCCGCATCTTCCTGATGGACTCAGAAGCAGCTTCTTTCATATGGGAAGCTTTGGATGAGTTTGTTTGATGAGGCACGTCGTTTACATTCTGTGGGGAGAATACAGAGCAGAAGGACAACACAGATTTTTTTTTTTTCTAAAACAAACTTATTAGGAGTCCACTAAACTTCCAACACAAAGAGTGACAGAGAAAACAAAAGTTGGGAAATGAACTGAAGTATTTAGATGTGGGAGACTGTGTAATATAAATGGGGCAGTTAATGTGAGAGAGGATACGTTTGAGACCGAAGGGGGCAGTGATACAGGGGATGGGACATTCGACACTTTGTGTGAGTCACCTTCACACCTCACACTCATCCTCAGAGGCTCATACACAAACACACTCCCAGACCCAGACACACCGTACACCCCACAAACAAATCAATAGAGAAACCGCAAATCCTGCATGACAAACATGCTGATTCAGTCTTGAGTTTATATTTGCGTATTTGTGGGCTAAACCTCTCTCCCTTGGGGACAGAACCCCGCCCCCCTCCCATGCCACGCGTCACCTGACCAATCAGAGCACTGCTGAGAGTAAAATATTTACATTCACGTATTTCGGCTGCAGTGAGTCCTGACCAGCGTGACCACGAAACAACGAACCACTGCATGATGGCAAAATGTCCACTAGGAAAAGCCAAAATAACTCTTGGGATTGTGGGGGTGGGATGGCTGTAGCCCCCACCCTGAGTATGGTTTAGGGAAGGTTGATGCTTAAGCCTTAATATATGCGGCTACGCCGGTGAGTGTGACTTGTGGAGCATCTGATTGCCTGACATTGTGATTCTGAGTAATAGCCTGTAATTTTGTGCATTTTTTTTTAAGTTTAAATCACCGTAGCGTTATCTGTCAGGAACAAGTAGGCCGACCCAGTTGAATAACACCACTTCAGATGGGCCTCTCATTAGAACTGGACCATTTTCACACTGCTTTTACTGCTGTTGTTAGCGGACATTAAAGCCCGGTGCCGCTGTTTCGTCCTTCCCGGCTGGCGTTCACATTGAGATTAGAAGCAGAAAGCCTTCCATGGGTGAGACTCTGTCGCTCTTATTGTTGACTGTTCCTGCTCACCTTCTCTCTGAATTCTGATGTTCTGCTCATGGTCTCCTGAAGCCCCCAGCTAGCATCGCCCTCCCGGTGTTGGGAGTCACACCAGGTTTACGGCTCCAGACACGACGTCCAGCCTCACCCAGTGCTGAAAGCACTCAAAGATGCATTCTCTGGTACCCCACTAAGGAAATCGCATCCCAGCAGCCTTTTATAAAAGGCTTTCTGTTGACGAGCCAGCAATTGTGTTTGACCTTTCCTATGCCCCCAGGATTCTCTGCACTCCTATCAGGTCCCTTGCTTATTACTTTTACTGAAGGCTGGAGACATTTAATTCTGCTAACGTGTTCACCTTAAAGAGCTGGAATCGCTCTCAATCTAAGATGACATCATCAGGTGACCGATGATAGCCCCACCCACTCAGACGGGCTCCATGTCCTACAATGTAAACATTTCTGATTCATGGAGTGCCATAAAGGAAATTTTACAATTGGTAAAAATCCGCAACCTCCTACATGTTTGGTTTAACTCCTGGCTTCCTTACTGTCTACGGATCCCATATCTAATTTCTGCAGTTAAATATCAGGGTCACCCTTCACCTTTTTCCATCCTCCTCTCATTTTTACTAAGTTATATCAAATACAGTGCACCAATCACGTCCATCTGCCGGGCATTTCCAGAAAACTGACCACCACATCTACTACTGCAACAAAAAACGACTACTGTTGAACAAAACTTTGCTTAAATCTTCCTAAATATGAAACAATTACTAATTGAAAGTCCATCAAACTACCTTGAAATTGCTCATCCTGGTCAGGGTTGCGGGGCGGAACCTGGAGCCAATCCCGTGCAGCAGGGGACACACTCTGAGCGGGATGCTGGTCCTTCACTGGGTTACCCCCCCACAGCTAACCCCTCCCCTTTCCAGGAATAATCCCCTTGCCTCTCATTACCTATAAACTCCGCCCCTCCGCCGCTAATCCCTCCCACATGCACAGCTAACCCCTCCCCTTTCCGGGAATAATCCCCTTGCCTCTCATTACCTATAAACTCCGCCGCTAATCCCTCCCACATGCACAGCTAACCCCTCCCCTTTCCGGGAATAATCCCCTTGCCTCTCATTACCTATAAACTCCGCCCCTCCGCCGCTAATCCCTCCCACAAGCACAGCTAACCCCTCCCCTTTCCGGGAATAATCCCCTTGCCTCTCATTACCTATAAACTCCGCCCCTCCACTGCTAATCCCTCCCACATGCACACCTAACCCCTCCCCTCCTCAGTGACAATCCCCTTGCCTCGCAGTACTGACCCACCCCCCCCCCCTGCAGTTAACCCCTCTCCAGATCACTGCCTTTGCTGTAATTGTCTGGGGGCCCTTTTGCTCCGCATGTCCTAACCACCCGCCTGCCCCAGAAGGCTCATTCCTCATCGTTATTCACGCCATCTGGATTCAGCGGAGGGAGAGACTGTCTCAGGCCAATTAGAGCAGCCCCAGACTCCACGGCGGCTGGGTTTAGAACCCGGGAAGCGCGGCTGGCCTGTTAAATGCGTCGGCGTGCAGGTTTCGGTCCACGCTCCAGACAGGCTTTGGCAGCAAGGTAGGCCTCTGCTCCCCCCCGTCCTCCTACAGTGGTACATTCTATTCATTCCCACTGAAAGTCTCTCTAAAGAGCCACTCAAGCTGCACTAAACAGCTGTGGGTGAGGTCATTTTCCCAGGAGCTCCGTTTGCAGGACAGCGGAGCTGGCAGGGCTGTGACAAGGGCACCATCTGTTCATGCTAATCAGGCTGGTGACACTTTCCATGGTACCAACCGAGCTTCGTTAAACAGAAAAAGAATGTGCCAGAAGACTGCAACCTGATAGGCTGGCTGGCCGTCCAATGGTGTTTATGGGATCCCTGGCCTCCTCACATCTGTTCTTCAATCCTACGGAGGCCACCCCCCCCACCCCCCACCACACACACGCACACGATTCAGCTGCTGGCAACACAAACGAGGCTTCAGCCAGATCCAACCTGTCACCTGACCTCAAACTGCAGCTTCTTCACACAACTCCAGAGTGGAGAGAAACTGGTGTTAAGGGAGCTGCCGTGTGTGTCAGCTCAACACACTTGAGTTTTTAAAATTAATTTGGCAAATGCTTTTACCCAAAGTGATGTAAAACTGACAAGGCAGGGCCACCAGGTAAGGGCCACCAGTTAAGGGCCTCGCTCAGGGGCCCAGCAGTGAAATCACTCTGCCGACCCAGGGAATTGATTTGGCAACCTTTCGATCACAAGACCAACATCCTGTCCAGCTGAGCCAAGCACTGACCTTGATAATCCCCTTTTCTTGAACAGATTAATACAGTGTTTCTCAATCCAGTCCTCAGGGACCCACAGACATCCTGGGGAGGGAGCAAAAATGTGAACTGCTTGGCATGGATCTCAGAGGGAGCAAAAACGTGGACTGCCTGTGGGTCCCCAAGGACCAGATTGGGAAACACTGAATTAACAGACTTATAATTCTGAACGGGACCAATGGCAGCTTGACTTCAGGTCCCTAGCAGATCTTGCAGGACCGAGGAGGAGTTTGTTTATGGAGCGTATCCATGGCGCCACATTCTCACTGTCATGGAAACAGACGAATATGAGCACGGAATGAGGCGCCCAGGGGCAGCCAGGTGACCTGATGGCAGCGTTCGGCACTCGGCCCACAGAGGCAGCCACTACTCCACGTCTCTGTCTGCATCTGTGGTCCCTCGGCTGTCAAACCACACCTGTAATTACGGCTCCATTAGCAGAGACCGGCTGCGGCCTCGTTTCATTGGGCTGTTCAGGAACGGGGCTGGGGGGGGGGGATGTGCAGGAATCCACCACAACGCAAGCTCCCCCTTCCTCAGCCGCAAGTCACTACCTCATGGGTAAACAGCAAAGTCTAAGAAGCAAGGAGGATGACATGAAGGTGATAAGACCACAGCAGTCTTATTTACTACCAGTGTGCACAGGCGCCTCAGTAGACAGCCCTGGTCAAACTGCGCAGATGCACTACACAGGACAGCCCTGCTCAGCCTGCGCAGACACACCATACCAGACACGCTGCACACGACAGCATCAGTCCATCTACACAGATGCAGCACCTGTCACACAGCCAGCACCCTCTGCTGCAAAGATTTACTTCGTCCTCAGCGCACTGAGTGACATGGGACTCCACGGTCTCGCACCCAGGTGCCGCCATCGCTCCACGCTCATTCGCTCAGATCAGAAGGCATCGCTCCGTCAGAAGCGGTAACCATAACGACCTGAACAGTGGCTCACGGGGGACCTGAAGCTGAAAGAGAAAGATGGGGAGGGGGAGTCTCCGGAACCTGCCGGCATCAGTGGCCCCATCTGCGGCGTGCCGGGTGGCACCGGGCCGTGGCGCGCTGCTCTGCCATCACCATGCCAGCCTGTCACTACGGCCCCGAGTGCCACCCACTCAAGAGGGAATGTCCATGTAATGCATGTAGGGTCTGTTTGTCTTCACAGGCACAAGTTGGAGCATGTGCACACACACACACATGCGTGCACACACACACACATACACACACACACATGCACGCACACACACACACACACATAAACATGCACGCACACACACACCCTCCCTTCTCCCTGCTGACTGCGACAACACTGGTAGTCATTTGCATTCTTAATTGGTTTCTAATGCACTTTTAATTAGCATAACACTCTAATTAATTATTTGATACAAAACAAA